CTTCTCCAGAGAAGAAACGGATCTGCTTGTGCGTGAGGTTAAAGCGTACACAATAATCTTTTTCATTGTAATTCTTTCATTTTTAATATTTGGCATGTTTGTGTGCTGCTGCGCATCCCTGCGTGTGTAATAAGCAGAGTGTACTCCGCTTGTGCACTCACCTATAGGTGTATATTACTAATGTACCCTTTAATTAAATTTTTAAAAATACTGCACCCATTGACTTTAGATCAGGTTTTAGTTGGTCAATGGCGCAATTGTTTTCAGTTGCCTCAAAATAGCAACGCGCCAACAATGCGCCTGAACACACCTCGTTTTTATACCAGCACGCCCATTGTCGAAAAAATGGCCGCAAGTGCATTTGCTATTTAAACAACGTGGCGCTGGACAAGAAAATGATAACTGCATCGGGCTGAAACTAGCAAAAAACACTTGCACCGGGTGTATAGGCACTTTCGTACCGGAGGAACCTTTTCATAGTTCCTAGAACTATTGGCGGAAGTTCCTGGTTTTTGGCGTGTTCACACTGCAGGAACTAGGAATGTATTTAGTTCTAGGAACTCCGTTTGGGGGAACTACATTAGTTCTATAGGAAACAGTTCTATAGGAACTACCAGTGACGTAGTGTACGCTGATTGGCCAAATGCATCCGGCTACCTGGCATTTTTAAAAAGTGATGTAAAAAATATTTACTCCACGAATATGGAAAACCGCGATAACGGCATTTACCTGTCGTCTGCAGCATTATGTTCTTTTCTCAGCCTCGATGATAACGCTGCAAGATGTCATAAGAGATTTAGTCAGATTTTCGTGCTCTTTTAATTGCGTAAATTGTGCATTTTACATTCCATCTCCGTTATCACAAAACCCGTGACACACAACAAAACAGCTCCGATCACGGCGTTCTCCATTCACCGGTTGTTGATGTTTATAAATGCCGCGAATAAAGACATTGCTGTCGGCCGCTTCAGAGTTCCTGCTGCCGGTGCGAATGCAACCAGGAAAACGGCCCGAGGGAGAAATTGGTTCTCTAGGAACGACCATGCTGGCTAGTTCCTAGAACTACGCGATGCGAAAGCGCCTTATGATAGGGCTCTTTGTCTTCTGTCTTCCGTTTGTATTTCCATGTCGTGAAGGTAAGGTCATACAAATTTATGAATGAAGCTACTTAGAAGACAAAATTCTAAAGATGGCTGCGCACTTGTTTCTCTGACACATAAGGTCTATAACAAAAGGTGTTTATTAAAAAGATTACAAACCCAAGCTTTAATGACAACTTTAACAGATGAGAATACAGTTCATTCAAAAGGTTTTCTAGGGAGGCTGTGATTGGTGTGCGAATTCAAGCACAGTAGGTTATTTCTAAAAAGGTATTTAAAACTATGGCATTTAATACGTTTATCTATGTAAATGTATGGATAGAATAATCAGTAAAATAAACATGTCTGAAGTTCTGGTTATAGTGACTATCGCTGTGTAAGGCACTGGTTAGCGTAGCCGCACATCTATGGCCCTGTGGCACGATGGCTGCTGCCCAATAAAGCTGCCGGCTTCCCCTGGGCTGCTAGTTCAAGTCTCCGGTTGCTGGTTGCGTTCACACCATTTATTTAGTGTGACACATCTCCAATTAAAGTGTGCAGAGAGCTGCATCCCCCCTCTCTCCTCCCCTCAAACCCTCTATCATAAAGAGAGAATGACAAAGAAGAGAGAAAGATGGAGAATATTCTGCCTTCCAGCGATGATTGCAGTCATTTCCCACTGTGGCAGCTCACAGTCTTGCCCTGAGAGGTGCTCTGAATTATAATTGTGAGACGAACGGAAGCAGTGTTTTTCTGTGACAGCACAGTTAGTGAACACCGATACCATGACCTTATAAAATGGACACTTTAATCGATCAAGTTTATTTTGGTTGCTGACTTATTTCTGCCTAATCACAATGCCGACTTCATTAAATATACTATATATAGTAATATAACTCTTTGCAGTGTCTTCCTTATTTACAAACCTGATTTTAATAAGCTCTTTTGCACAGAACTTCATGAACTGAACTTGCGTCATATAAGGGAGAAATACAAAATGTGCAGTGGTTTCCCTGGACCGGAGCCAGACACTGCTCTAACACTTGTCATTTTGATCCTGTTTTCTCCCAAATCACCCTGATGTTCCAGGATCCGACAGCCATAGGCATGCTCTTAGTTACAAGAAAACAGAAAACATATGAGTATTTGAAATGCCTGATTAAGGACCACCCATTAGCTCAATGATGGTATCCAGTGGAATGCCAGTGCCAGTGGTTCCCAATAGCAAAGCTTTTCCCTCAACACTTGTTTGGAAGAGAGCTATGAGGTGACTTCCAACAGAATTGTGCCCTACTCCCTTCGAATGGCAGAGCCCTTGAAGTTAGTTCTCTGAAGGGTGCAGGGCATTACTGTAAATTTTTGGAGTGCCCTTGGCAAAGGGACTGATTGACCAAATGTTACTTTGACATCTCTGCGTGCACGCAGCATCCAGCACATCAGCCTGACTTCTATTTAATGGGAATGGTTGGAAAAAGACCACCAAATGACTGAATGACTTGCCTGTGGAACATCCTACAGAGTTGTAGTTAAAGCTTTCGGTGTGCCAATGACAACTGCACACAGGGCATGCTACTCAATCTGTAATGTGCTAATAAAACATCTTTCAGTCATCATCTGAAGGCCCATTCAGAAGCTGAAGTGGAGGAGATTGGTGAAGGTTTTGAGAGTTTGAGCAGGCATGCTGCTTTTATGAGGCCAGTTGGAGCTATCAATGGCTGCCACATTGGAATAAGAGATCCAGCTTTAGGTGAGGGCTACTAAAACAGAAAACTTCACCCAATCATTCTTCAGGCAGTACGTGACCACAATGCAAAGTTTTTGGACATTTTTGCTGGTTTCCCGGGGTCTGTGCATGACTCCAGGGTCTTAAAAAAGTCATGTTTATGTCTCATGGTCATACCCTCCACCTGGCCTTTTCATCCTTGTTTAAAAGAGCCAATCTGCCACAATACACTTTTTAAAGAACCACTACGAGGCATTGTTGAAGCACGCTTTAACCAGCATTATGCTAAGGCCTGATCTATAATGGAAAGAGCCTTTGGAATGCTGAAGAACCATTGGTGGGCAATATTTCTGCATTCTTTGATGGTTTACCACATATTTGCCATTGACGAGCAGCAGTAATGTTAGTACCGGACTTTTTCAAAAGATATATTCAACTGCCTAAAAACAAAACAGGGTTCAAAGCCGGTGTTAACCATGGTCCATTTATGTACAAAATAAACTATGAAATTGCATCTTGGTAAGATATCAGTCAACATTTGAACGGCTTATATATATATATAT